AATGCCATTATCGTCGCATCACGTAAAGTATCTGTCTCTTATACACATCTAGATGTGTATAAGAGACAGGGTTTATATAAATAACAAGAATAAATATAACATAAACAAAAACATTAACACATTTTTTCTCCAACTTTGTATTGTTTGATTGTGTAAAGGAACGTAATATTTGTAATAGTTAAATGTATTCAATATGTGGTTGAATGACATAGTAAGTCGAAACATCACAAATACTTTGAAAGTTTTTTTTTTTTTATTAATAATATACAAAATTTTTCTGTTCGGGTATTTGTTTTAATATCATAGTACAGTTATTTTTATTTAATTGTAAAATGATGAGATAATCTCAAGTCCTGTATACTGATCATATTAATTCGAAAAAAAAATAAGTGTCTAATTCTACCGTATATATAATCTGACAACCTGTAACAAAATGAATATCTACATTTAATATTTCACTCCGAGGTCATTTCAAAACGTTCCCATCATTGAACAACTCAAGAATGTTTGACCTGACCCTTATTATGCCTCATTTAACGGAAACAAGCAGTAGTCAGAATATCTTGGGTTCAAATCCCGATGGAAACAAATCTGTAAATACGTCAAATACGATGACATTGACAATGAGTACCGTACGTCTATAAATTATAATACTCTATATCTATTTGCTTTACTTAAATTTACGTTTATTTAATGCTAGGCTAATAAAAACGTATTTCAGATATTATTATGATTCAATACAAATTAACATTAACCAATAATACAAAAGAAATAATAAAAGGCAAGAGGTGTACACCTTATAACAACAAAATAAACTATCAAAATTTAATAGTCCCTATTGGCCAATTCTGACCTCAAATTCACACTGAAAACCTAGACCAAAATCTTACATATTCGAATCTGGTTTGCTTATTATATTCTATACTATTTTAATCGATAAATCGAAGAAACTAAAGCTCGCAATAAGTTTACATCTATTGAGCTTATTTTATTCTCGATTAAAACAGTTCTACAAAATCATGTAATTCAGAAACAATGCAAGAAATGAGGCAGGCCTCTCTCAACACGTCTTCTTCTCTAATATGCTTTATGTGCCTGACTTCGACATTCTGGAAGCAATGGCTGTGGAGCATTATTTAAGGTACAACAGCTCTGTTGTCATAACCATTAACTGAACCGATTTTCTTCATCTGGACCGTTCCGACAACACTTCCATCATTTCTGGCCGCTTCAGCCTCTGCCCTGTTCAACGATGGACCTATCATGAAAAGACACACATTTTAGATGGTATTATCATTGAGGGAAGTCTAAATTTATCAAGACAAATTTAATATTTTTTTTAACCAATTTGTAAAATGAGACACACACAACTTTGAAGAAAAGTTTGAAAGTGGCTTTTTCTATATCTTTAATGCTATTAAACATGTAATCATTCTGATCTTCTCTCATGACATGTGGAGATGCAACCTGATCTTCTCTAACGATAGCAACGTAACACTGTAGTACTATAAGGAAAAAGAAACACTATGCCCACTTACCTATATATGCCAAAAGGGCTGGAAGAAATACCAAGCCATGAAGAGTGCCTATTAAAGTAATGGCTAGGAACATCTGAAAGTAGTACACTTGGAATACTTTAGATGAGGCGAAATTAAGAACGATTATACCGGGAAGGTTGGTAAGGGCCACGCCACTGAAAATCTATGAGAAAAAGAAGAAAAAAAACACATACCATTTAGAACTGAGCTTTTTATTTTTACTTTATATATGTCTATATTGGTACTGATTTACATTCCACAAGTTACGGTAACCCACATCAATAGTCCTTTTTTTTTTGTTTAAAAATTCAATGGCGGTGACAACTGAGGAGTCCGAGGTACATGAACCCGTCTAATAAGAAGTCAAACCTTCCTTCGAGGATCACGCATTAAAAGCATTATTGCAGCCTGAGGGTACATTTTCTGGCATATGGTACCTACTTTTCAAATTTGAATAACCATAGTGCTAATGTATATTGACCCCTTGTTGGGGACATCGTACCCCTCTAACGTACAACCTCTAACGCTGCAACTGCTAAAACCCGTCGAATAAGAAGTCAAACGTTCATTCGAGGATCACGCATTAAAAGCATTATTGCATCCTGAGAGTACATTTTCTGGCATCTGGTGCCTACTTTTCAAATTTGAATAACCATAGTGCTAATGTATATTGACCCCTTGTTGGGGACCTTGCACCTCTCTAACGTACAACCTCTAACACCGCGACTGCTAAAACACCGAACTTCCTCTCCTCTCTTTTCTTTTATTGGCTTTAATTTTGGCAACAACAATGAATGAGGCAACATTATAATATAATACTTACTGAACTTCCCGTCGTAGCTAGCGCAAACTGTGCACGTAGTTTTCTGGTTGGTAACGTACTTAAGCGGAATGTCCGTGCGATATGAGAAACAAACTCAACAGAAATACCAGTTGCCTACGAAATAAGAACCATGTTAATAATTATAATTGCTGGAAATATGATAGCTACCCCAGCAATCAATAACATTATTGTTTTTTTATATTTTATGTTAAACGCGTAAACTTTCGCACGTGGTATTAGGCAAACGTGACAAAAGCAAATTAAAATCTCTTGTTAGTGACAGGTTAAAAGAAAAGCAATGGCTGTGTTATCAGCTTCGCTTACCATCATTAAGTTGACGAGTGAAATGGCGTTAAAGTATATATCCAAAATATACATCACACCCATGGTGTCAACAACGATCATGGCAACGTTGACGATCACAATTATTGATGATGTGAAGTCGAAGGCCATTAAGAGTAAAGTGACAATGAATATTGGCGCCAGGATAACCGGTAGTATAACGTAAGCCTCTTCAACCAGATCCAGGAACTGCTCATAGAAAACGTATTGTGAACTATCAAAAGAGAAAAACATTTTTAAAATGGTTTACATGTGCGTGTACATGTGCTATTTCAATTATCATGCCGTAACTAGTAACTATGAAGTTTACTTAAGTGAAACACATTTTACTTAAGTGTAATAATATTTACTTCAATCTGTATCAGTGATTATCTCCAAAATGAACAACATGATTATCATTATTGTCATCATCCTCCTTGGCACAATCACAGTTGTCATTACTATCGTCAATGTAATCGTAAATCTGAAGATTACTTAAGTGAAATACATTTTACTTTAGTGTAATTATATACGTAAAATCTGTATCAAGGATTACCTCGTCAACATGATTATGATTATCATCATCCTTGGCAAAATCATTTGTCATTACTATTGTCTTGTTTTCTTTTTACTGCCTTTGTCAATTATCATTACTAACATCAATATCGTATTTGGGGCATAATCAATGCCATTATCGTCGCATCACGTAAAGTATAATTGTTTGCCACACGATTACAGCATAACGCATAGAAATTGCAAGTTTACCTGTATGCAAACACCCTGAAGTCATCGCCAAGATTGGAAATGTTTTTCTTGATTGCATCTTCTGCCGCCTGTGCTATTCTCAGTCCATTTTCTAATGTGGCGATTTCGTCCAATCCCGTGTTCGCTTTTAAATGGTATGTTGAAAAGTAAGACGCTAAAAAGATACATTGAGTTTATGAATACCATCGTGTGTGTAGATTTTGTAGATTGTGCAAATATTTGAGTCAGCATAACTACCACTCTTATTAATCTGTGTTGGGTGGCGGAATGTTAAGATCTGTACATTTACAAACTTTTCCACAATATGACGCAAACTCACTGCCACATGAGTGAAGTTAGTGTTATATGTAGTTGTCATGACAACAAATACTAACCTTTTATCGTGCCATCTTCATTAAATGCCACTGCTCCCCTATAAGACGCCCCCCTACGAAAAAAAAACAGTGATTAATAGAACTGAAGGAGAAACAAGATTCGACAACAAACAGAATACGTGAATTGGCATACTTCTCCTTATGGCAAATATTATGTTTGTTGATGAAGACCATATTTGTTAAAAATTGTGATATATTTAAACACAACGTACACATAAAAATAACAATAAACCGTCAACAATAAAGTATTAAAAAAAATCCTATGATCAATAATAAACTGCATTCACACCAATTTACAATTTTAACAAAAGTTGTCAAATACTACCTGATTTAACCTTACATAATCGCAACTTAACCTTAATGACGGCACCAGAGGTCAGAGGGGGAAATTTTCCCCAACTCCGTTGCTCAGGCCTGGATCTCTAAATAACGTTATTGTGATTTCACTCGGTACCCCTGTCAGACAAATTTTCGGGAACCATGGCCACCACTGCTTAACGTAAACTAATGAATTGCAAAATAGATGTATAAGAGCTAGAATACTAAAGATTATCATCATCATTATTATTATTATTAAAATGTATTGGTCCATTGCTTACCCTTTGCTACAAAACATCCCTGCCGGGTCCATTAAGAAATTCGGCAAATATTTTAAAAAGTCTTGACCTGTCGGCCGGCTTTCTTGAACAGCAGGTGGTATACTAAATGGAATACAGAAGTCTCCACATGTTTGTAGATATGCAGGATCTGAAAATATGAAATACGATAACTGAACATTATCATCTGCTTACATATTAAACACATCTTCAAGTCAAATGTCAATTTAAAAAAAAAAGAAGCAGAGAAGAAATATCATGGACAGACCTAACGATGGGCAAATGTCGCCTGCCATTGCATTGCTTGTATTAACGCTGTGAAATTTACAACAACTTCCAATATATGGTCCCAACCAATCATAATAATCATCTATCCAGGATGTTGCTGGGAAGGCGATCAAGCTACTGTAAAGTCAAACAGAAAAATGGGTGGTTCGTATGAAATATAAATAAATAATGACGTTTATACTGTGAGCATGGCATCACAAAGTGACCACAAAAATCAAACTTGTACTTCAGCCCTCCACCTTAATTACAAGAAGCGCAGCGATAATTAAACCTAGGACCAAAATCTTTACGCAGGACATGGCCTAAATATCTCAGTGGCTAAGCACACACAAAGTGGATAAGTGCAAACTTACCTTTGTGAATCTTGAGCGGCTATCGCTATTTGCTGAGATAGTGACATAGGACTGCAACCTGCACCTCCACAAAGCATGTTCTGCGCTTCTTCCGATGAAAAGTTGTAGTCCCCAGTTACTACAAAGTACACAGGGAATCCGATTTGACCGTACCTTTGGTAATCTTTTACAAAAGCTGTTGCATACGATTCCTAGAGAAATGGGGACGTATACAAACAAATACAGCTCGCTATTACTTTTAGCAGTATTTATTCTGCATAAGGTAACAACATAAAGTATCGAAGGCTATTTCAAAGTAACAGATTTAAATATTAATTTCAGTTCACATTGTGCACGCCATTGAATCGCATTTTGAAGTGTGCAGTACACAGATTAAATTACGCAGTGACGTACAGGGCACAGAAAGATGTAATTTCGAGTTCAGTTAGGACTTAATTATTTAATTACTTACTTTGTACAGATATGTAAGTACATTGATATCTTACAAGAAAATAGTTTCCTCGCAAAAAAACCCGATTCGTTTTGCATTTAATTTACTTTTTTTATGTAACTGCTTGCTTCGAAATGTCCGAAACAAATTGTTTGTCCTATACCCATTGAGTTTGACTCGCACATTCGATCATGTAGGTCTATGCCAGATTGAAAACCATTTTTAAAATTGTAGAAATGTAGCGAACTTAAAGCACGAAGCAGTAAGATTTGCTTAAAATATTTGTCCGGACTTACGTCAGCGAGAACGCCTGAACGGTCCAGCACGACAGTCAACATAGTGAGAAGATAAACACTAACACACGTAGCAGCGACGAATACGATCACCTAAAAATAAATTCAATTGATTAAAAATTGTCCCTGTACAAAAAAAAAAAAAACAAAAAAAAAAAAAAAAAAAAAAAAAAAAAAAAAACACACATAGTAAGAAATAAACAAGAAAAAAGTTATTGGAAAGCTTTGCATTTCATTTATGTATAGCATTGTTCATAACCACAAAAGGGCGACTAGACAAACCCATGTGTATGCCAGTCCCGTGTGTTGACGTGATAATTTAGATGAGCCCACGTTTATCATTCTTAGCTGTTAAAAAAGTAAACTTCCTAAATAATTCATCTAGATGCGCTGCAGTGTGTAGCCTCAGAAGTCTCCGTTCACACTAAAGATATTTTTAATTCTACCAAGGCGTTAGCGTTGCTTGTTTGCGTCACTCGTCTAAATTTCGCTAGTGCAACCAAGGTTAATATGAACTAATGATGTTGCTTAACGAATTGCTATGAGAATTTCTTTGTGGTAATTTCAATGTATGGTATTTTGGTTAGGTACAATATTGAGGGCTTCTAATAGTAGTAAAGAAAGCGGTACTGGATTATTTTGTTTATTTTACCCGGTTAGTTTAGGACATTTCATGGTTCAATTTCCAGGCTTTCAAGTTCCAGTCTTTTCATATTCTGTCTCTAGCGCCTTTAGCACTCCTAAAGTAGATATGTGCGGTAATCTTCACTATTATTATTGTTAGGCCTATTCGTTAATAATACTGTCATGATCATTAACGATCAGAATCAGGGAACAGTGAAATTTCACTGTTCCCTGATCAGAATGTACTGCTGTGCGTATAAATGATGGTATGCGTTGGAAATTTGGTGCTACCATTTTGGTTCCACTTACAATAATAGGGCGGACCCATTTGTTTACAATGACAGGAGCATAATATTCCTTCATAAAATATTGGAAATATCCCAGTTCATGTGATGCCTCTTCGTGACTGCAACCACAGCAACAACATGGCTCAATTTTCCCTGCCTATAAAAAAAGAATAGTTTAATCATAAATAAGATAGGATATTTGCCATTATTCAAACGAGTGAATTCTGTTGAAATGAAAGGAGGTGCGTCTAAAATACACTACAATTAAAAATGTTAAAGCAAATAAATCACCGATCGATGAAGCCTCTTTTAAAGCAATTTATAATTATTAAATTATGATTATACAGTAGACATAATTAGGTTCTTTCAATATATAGGCCTACATATGTACAGATGAAATAAGTCGATTTATTGAATTGTAAAGACATAAATGAGGAAAGGAGAGAAAGTATTCACAATAATAGAGATTATGAAGATTATATTAAAACATCAAAACGACCTTTTGACCCGGTGATCAAATTGTGTGTATCTATTTATATAGTCTATTATGCGTCTATTATGCATCTATCATGTATATTATAAGTATTCTTACATCTTGTCGCCAGGCGTCCAAAGATAGCACAGCGACGAAGGCTGACATTTGCAGAGCAAAATCAAAGAGAACAGCGAGACCAGCATATAGTGCAAACGTATAAATACCGTCAATCCTAATATACGCGCCTGAAATGAAAGTAAAGATAACATGTCAAGCTGGGTAGGCTTATACAACAGGTGCATTCACCATTTTTTATTATGAATTATTCAAAGTTAGACACTGTTTGCCTTACCAACAAAGAAAGCGAAAGATTCGGACAAGCCACACATGAAGATGCTGGGACCAACTCGTCCTATAGTGCGTCCGATTTGCTCCTCACGTGTTTCACCAGCCCGGCGAACATCCAACTGAAAATACAAAATCAATTACAGTTGTATTTTTTTTCAGTGATGAAGATACCATTATTTTCATGTCAAGAAAAAGATTGATGATTAGCACGTTTGTAGTCCTACTTTATACGTATTTGTGATTAGAAAATGTATAAGTTACAAGATGGCATTTTTTGAATTTCATATCATTTGGTCCAAAGAACAACAAAACTGACACACACAATGCGTTAGTGAACTTAGTTTAACATTGACGATGAAGTCTATTTCGGAAATAGGTTCATAGTTAGCTCATAGGCCTGAACTCATTTTTAGTTTAAAAAAAAAAAATTGTAGATGCCCCAACCCCATATATATAAAGGATTAACCGTTTAACCAAATCCACTCCTCTCGACATTTTCCTAGTGTCCAGGGGCGGATCCAGGATTTGAAAGAGGGGGGGTTAAAAATGTTTCCACAAAAACCCCAAAATGAAAGGGGGGTCAGTGGTGCTCCCCCGGAAAAATGTTGATTCCGAGATGGCCGTAAATATGCTTTCCCGACTTCTGAGGAGTCTTCTAATGACATTTAAGTTCTTCAAAATTCAAGGTTTTCCCCCTCTTGAAAAATGTCAGGTAATTTTATCTCCTTCTTTAGGCCTATACATAGACAAAACAATAAATCAAAGACTAAGGCAATATATTATTATATTCCTATAATATTGAGTAGTTAGATATTTAGTTTTTCTTCCATAGATCGATGAACCGATAGGCCTGAAGAACGCATTTTCGTACACAAATTATTACGACGTCGAACCAAAAACAGTGTGTATAATTTATTTAATTGATGAATAGTTGGGCTAAGCCTAGTTTGTCTGATCTGCCAACATATGCCTAGGTAGGTTATTAGAATGCCTTTTGTAAGACAGGACCCAGTAGTATTTTGTTACGTTTCTTCACAGAGGGGGTTCGTCCGAAGCCCCTGAAACCCCCTGGATCCGCCACTGGTGTCATGTGTAATACTGAAGAGAATAATAACCTTGGATTGGATTGGATTTATTCGGTGTAAACACCAAGGATAGCCCACGAAAGCCTAGAAAAAGACATATTTCCAGTGGGGTCCTTCTGGTGGTGATTGGGCAGTAC